AACTGCCCTCCCTATGTGGCCGTTTTCGTCCATTAGTGCCCTTTTAGCTTTCCCCCTTTTTTTCTCTTTTTCTTTTCTTTTCTTTTTCTTTTTTTTTCCCCCCCACTTGTGGACAGTAGGGACTTGCCAGTCCCTACTTGCTGCAGTCCCAACTGACGGCGAACTCACTCATCCTCTCTCACCTCCCATTTTCTTTTGCTTTTCTTTTTCTTTTTGCATGTCAAACGTCAACTAGCCGTTAAGGCCCTTTTCTAGGTTCTTCCTCTTAGTTTTGGCCCTTCCTACGCCCAAGGGCCAGTCCGTTATTTCTCGGACTGCACTTGTGGCCCTCTCATGCCCACAAGAGTCTCCGTTTGCCTCCCTCTCTCCCAAACGGTAGATCCTCACACTCCGACTTTCTCCCGGAGGCCTATTTTTCTGACGGACTCCGTTTTCTTGAGGGATGTCAATCCGAGATTTTTCGGATTGCTCCCATACCTCCCGTTACTTATTTCTTCGCTTTTTATTTTTCTTTTGGCCCTCCCACTTGCTCCCACTAGTGCTTGCACCAGTGGTGCTAATATTTTTGACCGTCAAGATCTCCGATCTTGACGGTGCAACTTGCTTTAATCATTTGCATCACATGCCGCGCCACCATTTCCCCTTGGGACAGCACAAGTCCCCGTCACTTGTTCCGCACTAGTCCCCGACACTAATACCGTTGGCGGTCCCGCCGGTACTTGTCCCGCCAGTGGTCCCGCCAATACTTGTTCCGATACTTCATTTTTTGCTTAGTCTCATGTGGTCCCCGACACTTTGTCCCGCCGGTGGTCCCTCGAGTACTTGTCCTGAGACCGCATTTTTTGCTTAGTCCCATGTGGTCCCCGGCACTTTGTCCCGTCGGTAGTCCCCGACACCTTTGTCATTTCTCTGCCTTATGGTGACCTCCTTCCCTCGTCCTTCTCGTGTCCCGTACACCGTCCTCTCCGGACGCGGGTTCCAGCTTGGCCTGTGCCCCCTTGGTTTTCTTGACGTCGCATTCCGGTGGCCTCCTTGGCCCGGTCTATGTCTTCATGTGTCGGCACCTTACCTGTCATTTTCTCCCTTGCTTTTTCTTTGAGGTGCGCGCCCCGTTGTCAGTACTTCTCTCTGCGGTCCCTCTCCTTTTCCGGGAGAGCGGCCGCCTTTACTATTTTTCTCGCAATCCCTTGCTGCTTGCCCTTCGACTGCTCCTCTCATGGTCCTGTGGCCCCGACAACCCGGGTAACCTCCATGCCCCCTGATACCAGTGCTTAAACACTTTCCGCCCTTCTAGCCTCCGGTTTACTCTGCTGTGCACAATTCTGCCATATACAGTCTCTCGAGTGACGGGATGTTATTCCGGACCCACCAATCCCGACACATTCCCCCCACTCATTCGCGATGTCCTCATCGCGCAACAGTCTTCAGTTAGTAGGGGTTTGGAGATGTAGACAGAGGGAAGAGGGGGTGGGGTGAAACGGGTAGTTAGCTTGTCAGGGTTCTTTTTGTCCTTTCTCATTCCTTTCTCAGGGTTTTCTTTGGTTTTCTGCCTTGGGGTGGAGGAGGGTACGGGGAGCCAAAGGATCTTCTTCGGACTTCTATTTTCTCATCCCATGCCGGCCAGGTTCATTTCTGATTACCACTATTCTCAATACCGCTTTCGTTTGGGTCCTTCGGCCCGTGCAATCCATATTTTCAATACCTCTTTCCTTCGGGTCCTTCGGCCCGTGCAATCCATGTTTTCAATTCCACTTTCCTTTGGGTCCTTCGGCCCGTGCAATCCATGTTTTCAATTCCGCTTTCCTTTGGGTCCTTCGGCCCGTGCAATCCATGTTTTCCGCCACTCTTCCCCCAAGCTCGGGCCTTAGCCAAATCCACATTCATTTCTCCCGGGTCATTTCATCCGGCCTTTCCCTAGCCCTGCCAATTTCGCATGCATATCACCCTTTGTCCTTTCTTGCCCCTTGCTTAATTAATTTTCCATGTGCAATACTCAGTTCATGCCTCATGCATCTCTCTTCCAGATACCTTGTCAGACCTTCTTCTCAAGCCCATGCAAACAAATTGCACAAGTCCTTTCTCCTCTGGCACCTTGCCATGCCTCTTTTTCTCAGGTCCATGCAAAGCCAATTACACAAGTCTTTGCTCTTCTGGGCATCTTGCCAGGCCTCTTTTCTAGGGCCCATGCAAAACCAATTACACAGTCTTTTCTCTTCTGGGCATCTTGCCAGACCCCTTTTCTCAGGCCCATGCAAAGCCAATTACACAGTCTTTTCTCTTCTGGGCATCTTGCCAGACCCTTTTTCTCAGGCCCATGCAAAGCCAATTACACAGTCTTTTCATGCGTTTTTGTTGGTAGATGGCACACCTTCCCCCCACTCAAAACGCGATGTCCCCATCGCGCGACTGGTTCTCACTCGGAGGTACGCAGACCTGTGGCCCGCCGACCGCAGTCAAGAACACAAGCCCATCCGCTTCGCAAGGAAAGAGTGTCATCCGCTTCGCAAGGAAAGAGTGATCAGTTCCTCCCCAGCGGGTGGCGCCTCATCCTCCTACTCGATCCGACCTTTTACTATTACGTGGCGAACACCAATACTGAGGTTCCTCCTCACATCTGGCAGGTAGGTCCAGTCCAAGCCTTCCAGGGCCTCGTCCATCTGTAAGAATTTCCCTCGGGAATCGTTCCTCCCGAGTGGTAATTTTCTGGATCCGGCCTCTTCCTTTCAAGATAATTGGGGCTCTCTATTAGTTCGCGAGTGCAGTTACGAAGACCTCGCAATTAGTCCCGAGGCGGTTGTAACGCTCCGACAAAGCAGTGTCAATGACTCGTGGTGGTGGCGGACTCCACCCGGTACCTCACCCGACCCTTCCCCTTAGACAGTGCCGCCCAACTTAGTGCGGACAGCCGAGGTCCGACCCAAACGGCCATGCCACCCCTCTATGGTATGGCGTGTAGTTGGAGAGTAGCCAAATATACTAGAATAACAACGACTCTCTCGCCCATTTGGTTCTCCCACCCTTTGACGTTTAGGCTCTCAACACGAGACGCAGTTTGAACTCCCCGACTAAAGCTCATTGTCAGGGTCAATTTCGGACGTCCAGCACCGATCCCAGTGGTAGGTGCATTGGTCCTTTAACCCTCATCCCCTTGTAAGAGGAACAGGTCGCGCTGAGACTTTTCCCTTTAAGGAATAGAGATCTTGAGGTCGCGGTGCAAGCACCGGTACGCCCCTCTTGCTGAGGCCAAGGACCAGAAGAAAAAAAAAAATCATTTCAATGTTATTTCCAAGTTCATTTCAAGTTGTCTAGGGTCCTCTGTTAATGCAATGCAATTTCCAATGCTCATTCAATTCCGATGCTCAATCCGATTCCAACGCTCAATTCAATTCCAAGGCTCAATCCAGTTGCAAAGCTCAATCCAATTCCAAGGCTCACTCCAATTCCAAAGTTCAATCCAACATGTCTTCCAAGGCTGAGTCGAATATCTTTTCCAAGCGTGAGTCCAATATCTTTTCCAAAGCTGAGTCCAATAGCTTTTCCAAAGCTGAATCCAATATCCTTTTCCAAAACTCAGCTCTTCTCAATCTCATGCCTCTCAAGCAGTCATGCAAGGGNCAATAGCTTTTCCAAAGCTGAATCCAATATCCTTTTCCAAAACTCAGCTCTTCTCAATCTCATGCCTCTCAAGCAGTCATGCAAGGGGACCCCAACGCCAATTTCAAAGAATGATCCTTGTCAGGGGTCATTCCGAACAACCCGGTTAGGGTCATTCTTATCTATTTCAGTCGGACAGCCTGGTTAGGGTCATTCTTATCTATTTCAATCGGACAGCCTGGTTAGGGTCATCCTTATCCATTTCTATCGGACAGCCTGGTTAGGGTCATCCTTATCCATTTCCATCGGACAGTCTGGTTAGGGTCATCCTTATCCATTTTCATCGGACAGCCTGGTTAGGGTCATCCTTATCCATTTCAATTGGACAGCCTGGTTAGGGTCATCCTTATCCATTTTCAGTGTTAGCGCCCGAGGGGGTGGGCCTCGAGGACACAGATCCTATCTCTGTCTTGGAGGTTAGAAGGTGACCATCTCTTTAGGTTTTCCGCATGCTCTTGCCTTTTGTCTCATGCCCGTCATCATTCTCATGTACATACATCCGACTTAGCGTATAGTGCTCGAATTGAGGCTCGCAACCCCAAGCAGCACTAGCTCACCCGGTCGTTCAACCAAAACAAGGGGAGTATGTGTCGTCACTGTTTTCTTTTTGTCTGACCTCTCATGCCTTTCGCTGCTCTGGACTTATCCAGGTTATGTTGGATTAGGCTCCTAGGGAAGAGTGTTCTTCATGCCTCTTTACCCATAGGTCCCTTAACCTCTCACAGAGACTCGTACCATGACTTATTCATCCAATGATACATATGTCACAAAACTCTATTGGCATAGACTTTTCTTCAATATCGACAATTCCCATGCTCTTTCCTTTCCCAAAAAAGAGTCAACCATTTCCAGTTCATCTGTCATTGTCAATGATCCTCACATTTTCCAAAGGAGCGAGTACTTATGCAAAGTAGCATTGGCTACCCAATCCCTGTTTACTTCCCCATTTCAAAGGGCGGTCCCATTTGCGGCTCTTCCGAAGAAAAAGGAAAAATTTCTGGGCAAAATGACATCTCAGACCTGCCTCATCTATGTCCCCTTTTCCCTTTTGCCTTCTCTAGAGGTAGGCAGTCTTTCATAGCTCTAGTCTCAAGCTCATTGGTCCTCACGTCCTTCTGAAGAAGCAAGTACTTATGCAAAGTAGCACTAGTTACCCAGTGCTTAGTCATTTCCCGACTGGAAAGTTATCCCATTGTGGTTTATTCCCAAGAATTCAAATGCAAAGGCCAAAATAACAGTTCTGCCTGCCCAAGTACCCATCCTCCCCATTTTCTAGCTATTCTCTCTTATGTCTATTGTCCCCTTGTTGCCCAATTGCCCTGTGCTGAGCCTCTCTTGTGCGATCGTCGATTTCCTGCTGCATCCTTCTCTTCGTTATTTGAAGCTCAAGGTTGTTGGCGTTATATCTTCTCCCCTGCTTAGCTTTTCCTTTCCTTTGATCGCCCATTCATACCGCATGATACTGGACCATTGATCAAACCGGTCGCTGCAAGACGGCCCAAACTCTTTTATCCATTTGTCCTTCTCATCGGCTGGATCCTCATCCCTTGCTCGTACTTCTTTTGTTGGCGTTGTGATCTCGTCGTCCTCCTCCCCACTTTTCAGGTCTACGACCTCGTTGGGCTCTACCTCATCCATCCTCTGCTTCTTCCTTGGGCTTCCATTCTCCCTCTTACTGCTGTCACTTTCAGATGAGAGATCTATTGGTTCCCCCTTTCTCAGGGGTGAGGGTCCCCTGGTCTCTTGCTTCCTTCCTCCTCTGCCCTTAACCAAGTTGAAGTCAAAACCCTCATACAGTTTCCTCTTCCTGGTACTTGGTTCCCCTGCCAACCTTGCCCCTTGTTCCCCGGTGGGCCTGTTGATGGCATTGCTGTCATTCTCATTTCCGAATTTCATCTTTATCTCCTCTTGCTGTGTTCTTCTTTTACCCTGGTCCTGTTCATACATAACAGTCCACAACAACCCTCATACACACGCATTCCCTCCCACTCCCATTGCGAGTTTTGCAGTCTCATTCCCAGAACCCTTGCTTACCCCCATATGATTGGTAGTCCTTTTAGGGTGGTAACATAGGCGGTAGTTCCATTATCCCCTGAAAACTTAGGTACATTGTCCCAGCACATAGGCACCCCATATAGGCAGTCCCCAACATTGCCCCACAAAAACTATGGTACATTGTCCCAGGCTCCCGACCCCATTCATACTCGGCCCAAGCAGTCACTCCATGCCCGAAAAAGAAGGAAGACATAAAAATGAACAACTCCTGCAGTCATGATTACTTCCGCAGAGAAGTGGTACAAAATTATGGCCAGCTGCCTGCTTTTCAGGTTGCCAATTCCCCTGTTTCTTTGTCCTGAGCCTCTTGCAACAATTGCTCCACCGGATCGCGGCTCAAAAATCTGACCAGCCTCTTTCCCGGAAATGGCCCTTTTATCCCAGTTCCGTCAAGATCCTCAAGTTCAAAGGTGTTCAGTCTCACCCGCTTAGCGATCCTGTAGGGACCTTTTAACCTTCTTCCCAGTTGTCCAGACCATGTGCTTTCAAGAGCCGAATTCCTTACTAGTACGCTTTCCCCCACCTGGAGTGGCTCCTTCCGGATGTTCTTGACCTGGTCCCACCTTGCTTTGTCCCTCATTCGGCTATCCATTACACATTTAACCACATCCTCCAAGACTTCCTCATTTCTGACAATCTGTTGGCATCGTGCGGCGATCAGCTCCTCCATAGACATGTGTGGATTGTCAGCCAGCCTGTTCCAGGTAGGAACCAATGCTTCCACTGGGAAATCAATCTCCCTCTCATACTAGAGTTCTGCCGGAATGCACCCCGTCGTCCTCTTTGGCGTCATGTTTTCTGAGAAGATCGTCTGCTTAAGGTACCAAGATCAGTTTCCTATGTCATCTGCCGCTATCTTAACAATTGTGTTTTTCAAGGTCCGGTGCCCCCTTTCTACAGGTGCGTTGGCCTCAGGATGATAAGGTTCGATGATCTTGATAGGTGCACACAACGTCTTGAGCCTGCTTAACACTTCGTGATTTACGAACTCCGTCCCATTATCCGCTATGAACCTGTGCACAAAGGGGTGTCTTAGGTAGAAGTCCTCTATCCAGTCGGCCACTCCCTTTTCCGTCTTTCTCTTAAGAGCTACTGCCTCTACGTAACCAAATCCTTGATGTCCTGCAAATCATCCCGGACGAACTTTCGTATGCCCGGCTGGACCTTTGTCTCATCCTTGTTTTGCGCGCCTTTTATGGGATTGCCGTCTATGTACGGTTCGCATTTCTCTGGGAACATGCCCCCTGCGACCACAAGCATCCTCCTCTGCGCCTCTGCCACAGCGTTTGTAAAGCCCATAGGGGTTACTTGCATCTGCAGCTGCCCTACCAGAGTGTGCATGGCGCTTTACGGTCTGCCCCTAGCGTCAAGTGGCAGTTGATCATACCCTGACTATAAAATCTATCAAGGAGTAAATGCTTCGGCCAGAGTGAGATTCGACTAGCAGGTCTGCCTGTGGAAGCGATCCCGCATCGCGGATTGTAACCGCATTCAGCTTCTGCAAGTTTTGGATCCATCTGAGTGACTTGTTGGGCTTCCGAAAAACGAACCACTTGTTCGCGTAGGGGGATGCAGTGGGTTCGGCCACGAACGAATCTATCTTGGCTCTAAGCAATTCAGTGACTTCCACCGCTATTCCGAACTCGTAGGCGGGCCCCTTGTCATTCCAGCATTCGTGTTCCACCGTGTGGATCCTAATGGGGGAAATTAGTTTCGCGTCCAATCGGCCTTTCTAGTGGTCATTGAAGGCAAGGGCTAAATGAAACTTTTGGCAAGCTTTCCTTATCAGCTGGGTCTCTTCCACCGTTAGGAACCCATCTACCCCTATTTTCATGGTGTCTGCTACCTCATCGAGTATCCGATGCCCCTTCGCTGCTCGTCTCTCCCTGATTATCCGCAAGATTTCTTCCTCCTTT